TATTTATTTTCTGTCTGGTTGATCTCCTTTGGAGTGAGTGGAGCGTTGAAGTCTCCTAGAATGAATGCATTGCATTCTATTTCCTCCTTTAATTCTGTTAGTATTTGTTTCACATATGTAGATGCTCCTGTGTTCTGTGCAAAGATTTATTTTTTCTTTTTGGTATCATTTATCTACAATTACATTAGGAAAATTATGTTTACTAGGCTAACCCCTTCACCAACTCCCCCACACAAACCCTATTACATTCCCTGTCCATCTACATTGTAAGATGCTGTAGAGTCACTACTTGTCTTCTCTGAGTTGCACATCCTTCCCTGTGCCCCTCCCACATTATACATGCTAATCATAATGCCCCCTCTCTTTTTCTCTGCTCCCCCATATCCCTCCCTTCCCACCCAACCTCCCCAGTCCCTTTCCCTTTGGTAACTGTTAGTCCATTCTTGGGTTCTGTGAGTCTGCTGCTGTTTTGTTCCTTCAGTTTTTTCTTTGTTTTATACTTCACATATGAGTGAAATCATTTGGTACTTGTCTTTCTCTGCCTGGCTTATTTCATTGAGCATAATACCCTCTAGCTCTATCCACATTGTTGCAAATTGTAGGATTTGTTTTCTTCTTATGGCTGAATAATATTCCATTGTGTATATGTACCACATCTTCTTTATCCATTCATCTACTGATGGACACTTAGTTTGCTTCCATTTCTTGGCTATTGTAAACAGTGCTGTGATAAACATAGGGGTGCATATGTCTTTTTCAAACTGGGCTGCTGTATTCTTAGGGTAAATTCCTAGAAGTGGAATTCCTGGGTCAAATGGTATTTCTATTTTGAGCTTTTTGAGGGACCTCCATACTGCTTTCCAAAATAGTTGAACTAATTTACATTCCCACCCACAGTGTAGGAAGGTTCCCCTTTCTCCACAACCTCACCAACATTTGTTGTTATCGTTTTGATGGTGGTGATCCTTACTGGTGTGAGGTGATATCTCATTGTGGTTTTAATTTGCATTTCTCTGATTAGCAATGTGGAGCATCTTTTCATGTGTCTGTTGGCCATTCGAATTTCTTCTTTGGAGAACTGTCTGTTCAGCTCCTCTGCCCATTTTATATTTGGATTATTTGCTTTTTGTTTGTTGAGGTGCATGAACTCTTTATATATTTTGAATGTCAACCCTTTATCTGATCTGTCATTTATGAATATATTCTCCTATACTGTAGGATGCATTTTTGTTCTATTGGTGGTGTCCTTTCCTGTACAGAAGATTTTCAGCTTGATATAGTCCCACTTGTTCATTTTTGCTTTTGTTTCCCTTGCCTGGGGAGATACATTCATGAAGAAGTTGCTCATGTTTATGTCCAAGAGATTTTTGCCTATGTTTTTTTCTAAGAGTTTAATGGTTTCATGACTTACATTCAGGTTTTTGATCCATTTGTTTTTCATTTCTTTATTTTTTTATTTTTATTTTAGTATCATTAATCTACAATTACATGAAGAACATTATGATTACTAGGCTCCCCCCTTCATCAAGTCCCCTCCACAAACCCCATTACAGTCACTATCCATCAGTGTAGTAAGATGCTGTTGAATCACTACTTGTCTTCTCTGTGTTGTACAACTCTCCCCATTCCCCCTCGCCCACATTATACATGCTAACCGTAATGCCCCCTTTCTTTTTACCTGCCCTTATCCCTTCCTTCCCACCCAACCTCCCAGTCCCTTTCCCTTTGGTAACTGTTAGTCCATTCTTGGGTTCTGTGATTCTGCTGCTGTTTTATTCCTTCAGTTTTTCTTTGTTCTTATACTCCACATATGAGTGAAATCATATGGTACTTGTCTTTCTCCGCCTGGCTTATTTCACTGAGCATAATACCCTCTAGCTCCATCCATGTTGTTCCAAATGGTAGGATTTGTTTTCTTCTTATGTCAGCTCACTGTTCTTTTTGCTTTAGTTTTTATAAGTTTTTGTTCATTCATGTGTTTGTTCCATGAATATTTTCACACTTTCTTGGGAGTCCAACAATTCCCTACTATGGGTTTATGATAATTCATTTGAAATCCAGTTTTTTTTCCAGTGAGAGAAGTCTTGAGAATAACTAGTGTGTTATTCTGACAGAAATGGAAGTTTTGTTCTTTTTCTTATCTATCCATATATGCTCTGTAGCACTCAGTCCAGGAACTTGCACTAGGTGGGTGTTCAATATATTTGAAAATAATTGAATTGAAAATATCTGGTAATAGAAAACAAGACATAAGAAGCATGTATCTTGGAACATATACTATAGAAAAGTTATCTCTTGAAGAAGATGCAGAAATGAAAGCTTCAAATTATGTCATGGCAATATGACACTGAAGTATATATTCAGCAGTCATGCGACTATGCCTGTTAGAGTAGAAGCATTTATGTCAGTTACTGTGGAGTCACTTGGAATATCCTGATATTCAAATTGTTGTTGACATTTCTAAGAATATTATCTGAGTAATTCTGGGTTCTTACAGTAAAAATAGCAAAAAAATGAACTCATCTGCCACACAAATTCTTGATAGTATAACTGGGTAGTTTATTGGGGAAGAAGACTTTTTAAGCTATATTGCATTGTTGAGTTCAGTCTATGCAAATATGAATGTGGATATCCTCTGACACCTAGTCCTGCCTCCTCTCCCAGCTAAATCACTTCATATGTGGACACAGATGTGTCACTTATCTCCAGTGATCCTGCATGAAGCTTACCACAAAAACAGAGAATAAGGCTGAGGTCCAGGCTCTTGTGAGAGGTTATATCCTTAGGAAGAAAATGACCAACACCACTTTTCAGAGCAGGCTTTGGGCACTCTTTGCACTAATACAGAAGGTCATTGATGGACAGATGAGCTTTAGATCGACACCATAGGCTCATCCTCTGATGCTCTTGAAGTTCAAAGTGCTAAGAATATTTCCATCTCCAGAAAGGAACCTTGTGCTCATGTGCGGCGGAGGCTCCATCAGTTCTTGTAATGATCATGACTGTCAGTAGAAGAAAGTTCCTTTACATTCTCATCATTGTGTGATGTGATTTGCAGTCACTTTATTGACAGCTGTCCTTCAGAATGAGGATTGGTCCCTTCAGCACTGATATCACGGAAACTAATGGAATTAGTTCTATTATTGTTCAAGTAGGTCTCCCAGCACCCACTTGGCTGGAAAATAACCAGGCCTCCACCTCCAACAGACTCTGGGCAGGTGCAGTGGACCCTCTCCAGGTCTCGGACTGTGCAGTCCCTGTTCCTTCCTGCTGTGTCTACTGTTCCCCGTGGGGCCTCCAGCTCCCCCTGAGGCCCAGTCTGCAGAGAGAATCAGGGTCTCACACCTGATCTGGACCAGGCAGAGGTATCCTTTTCCCGAAGGAAGGGCCGGCCTGGCAAGGGGACTGAGACCCCTGCCACTGTGCTGGGAGTTGTGGGATGACGCGAGCTGTGGGAGAGCAGGGCACTGCAGGAATGCTGCCCCCCGGCCTCCACTGTTGCCCACACACAGCCTCACTGTATGTCTTTACTCACAGGGTTACAAAGGTAACTCACTACCCATCTAAAGTGTCAGCTCTCCAGTAGCCACATCACCCACATAGCTTGCTGGAAAAGCTTGCTGCAGTCCCTCTTCAATCCCAAACCAATTCCTGCAGAAACACAGAGTAGGATCCAATTCCAGGATTCCACACGGAGCTGGTGGTTTGCCTTCAGTTGGAGCAGTGGATGCTTTTGTTTACCTATATGCTGTGTGTGTGTGTGTGTGTTTATGTGTGTGTATGTGTGTTTGCATACGTTTAGGAGAGTGTGTGCATGATTGTCCAGTGGTCCCAGTGAGCCTGGAATGCAAGGATTCCCAGTCTCTCATACACAGCTCCTCATGATTTGCCCTTTCTAAGAGCAATTCATAAACTTCCCACACACAGACATGGCACCCCAACTAATGAACTGAGTGAGTCTCCTGGGAACTTCTGGCTGAAATTTCCTTGTTTGCTTTTGAAATTGCTGATACCTTTTGCTATGCAGCCAGTTTATTGACTTTCCCTAATCTCTTGATATCAAGCTAGAGAGCTCTGTCTCCTGAGCTCCACCCTGACTCCCCCTTCCTACCCTTCTCAGTAGAACCCAGTGAGCAACATTATGTTTTCCTTATTAAAAACTGGTGTTTATCATGCCATATTGTAAATCTGCCTACACATTTTCTTTCTTTTGAGACCACTGGTATCTAAGACTAAGGACTGTTCTAAAATCATGTTTGAAATCCTAAACCATGCACGGAACCAGGAACCTCATAGAAACGAAATAAATGTTGATTTAATATATCAATACATGAATGAATCAGTCAGAATTCCTTCACTAGAGAGCGTGAATTATGTGAGCTTAAACTATAGGATATGAAACATGCACAATTCATCACATTGTCCTGAATTGGATAGTCAGTGTGCACTTAACAATATTGAGACACCCAGAATATTAGTTCCATTATTGTTCAAATAAAAATGCAAAATTTTTCTTCCTGTATAAAATATGCATCAGAAATTATTTTATCATATATTCTGTGTTCTTGTTCAAATTAATTCCAAAAAATTATCTGGGACTTACCCTTAGTTGCAATCCTTAGATACATTACTGATTCAGCATTGGGAGCATTGCCTCTCCCATTGGATAAAATTCTGGGACATATACTTGATATAGATCACGACTGAAGGCAAACAAATACCTTATCTTTTTGGCATTTTTCTGGTACTTTTCAAGATTAAGGCCTCATGCTGTCTGTTGATTTTGCAGGATTGTGTAAATTTTTCTCATTTGACAATACAGAACACAGTAAATGGTCTCACCGAAGTTCCAAGAGAAATAATCCAGTGCAGAGGGTGAAAAATTCAGCGGAAGATAAATTTTGTTGCATTGATTTGTGTTTTTAAGAGAGGTGTCAGGAAATTATATACAGTTTAGTTACCTTGTAACATTTATTTAACCATGACAATATGGACCCCTTTCAAGACCATGTTAGAATGCAGTTACATTAAGGGCAAAAGTACCAAAATGCCTGTGTTCTAAATTTGTAACCATTGTATTAGTTAGTACCTCATACCATTACGTACCCAAACACCAACTCTTCTGTATGTTTTTAAAAATGTGTCTGCCTAAGTATTTCAGTTCACAAAAGTGTCAATCATTTGACCGTATATAATTACATTCACAGTTATCATTTTCTTCTTGTAAAAAAGTAGAAAGAGTTATGTGATCTCTGAAGAATCGATTAACTCTTTTATGGGGGAGGGATTACTGCAAGTTATCTTTAGGAAATATAGACATGCACTTTCAGAAATTCTCCACATGTGGACTAAAGGGGGCAGTGTTTCCTCGCATAAAGATGCCCAACTTCCGCTAAAAGTAGGGCAGTTCAGAGGTGAAACAGAAGGCTGTGTGGAAGGAAGTGAGTGAAGTGCTGGAGGGTGAAGGCAGGTTGAAGGGAACGGAGAGGTCACCTGCCTCCTCACGGGAGAAATGGACCAGCTCCTGGGGGCATCACTGTTGATCCTGTGGCTTCAGCCAGACTGTGAGTCGTGGGTGACGTTTGAATGTGATAGAAAATCTCCGTGGAACGCTGCAGAGCTGGGAGATGAAATGATTGGGGAGTTTTGTTTCTCTGTGTTCTGCACCTGATGGTTTTCTGTGGGCAAGGGGAAGGACAAAATTTAAATCTGTAACTGTCTTTCCAAACAGGGGTGAGCAGTTAGCAGAAGAGTGGTGACCAGCAGCAGGTTAAGCAAACATCTCCATCCCTGAGTGTCCAAGAATGAAGAGTTGCTATTCTGAGCTGCGACTACAATAGTAATGTGTTTGATTACTTCCAATGGTACAAAATGTACCCTGCGAGAGGTCCTGCACTCCTGATATCTATAGGTTCAGATAAAAAAGAAGATGGAAGATTCACAGTCTTCCACAACAAGAGTGCCAAACACTTCTCACTGCACATTGCAGACTCCCAGCTGGGCGACACAGCCTTGTACCTGTGCGCAGCAAGTGCACAGTGCTCTCCAGGCACCTGCAGCCTGTACCCAAACCTGCAGCTGGGTCCAAGCCACCCCTACTTTAGGGTCTCAGAGTGGGAGGCATGTAAACTTGCTTCCATTTACACAAGACACTAGGGAGGGTGTGCTTTAAAGCAAGGGAGGCACGCTGAGCTTTTAGGAAGACTGATACATGGAAGTCCTGCTAATGGGTCAAGGACATCACTGGGAATTCAGGTATCCAAGAGTCTAACCATTTTACTTCTTCATTTACTAACTGTAGAGAATAGGGTTTATGTTCCAACAGCCTGACTACAGGACCCACAGTGCTGCTTCCCAGTAGAAGCCATTAACCAAGCACACACACTTTTGAGAAGTTGCCATTAATTCAATTTTTAGCACGTTTCTACATCGATGACCCAGGGAAGGGTCTGATTATCACTCACAGATCATGAAAGCCTGATGCTATTTATAGGTATTTTTTTTTAAATAAATGGCTGGAAGTTGCCCCTCAAGGGCTAATTTTCTGAAGCTGAAGCTGAAGATCCTATATAGTTGGAGAATGCAGAAATTCAGGATACCTCTCTGGAAGCAAGGACAAGGCTCTCAAATCTCATTTATGACATGAGGTGTTTTTCTGTAAGAGGACTTCAGTAGGTGCTGAAGACTTTTTTGAATAGACTAGAACTGATCCATAGTTTTGCATAGCTTGGTTCATCCAGGGATCCTAGTGGGGATGGTGTAACTATAGGAGGAAATCTACAGATTGATTAATTCTGTCAGTTTTGATTCTATATTTGTGAATATGGATGTGAGGGTAACTCAAAGTGCATTAGATCCCTCATCCCTCCATATGGGGGAGTAAGAGGGCACTTATCTCAAGTGCAGTATTTCCTTCATGTTTGTTCATGGCTTCCACTTACATAGGAAGGTTCCAAGGTCCTTTTGGTAATGCATGGAAGTAAGAATGAAAAGGAGGGAATAATCTGTACCTCCCTTCATACTGAGGATGGTTTGATTTCATAAATAACAGAGGCCTCTGTTCCAAGACTCAGCCAAGTAAGTGAGCTGTGAATATTCCTGGCTCTTGGGCATCCAGAGCCTGTTCCCAAACTCAGAACTGCAGCTAACGCACCCGGCAAAAGGCAGAGGCAGCTGAGAGCTGTTGCTGTCCTCTAGGGGAGTTAGGAATACAGCCTTGATGAATCACTTCATTCCAATTTCAAAAAATGCGAGGCATGGATGAATAATCAAGTTAGGTATTGTACATCCCTGTTCATAACAACAGTATTTCTAGTCAATAACCAAATAGGCTTTCTTATCTCAGATATATTTCACGTGATTTATTAATTATTCAAAGCCAGTTATATAGTCTCGTTATAATGGAGAATGTTTACTCTGATTGCCATTATGGTTTCCCTATATCATGGCCCTGTAGGAAGGGAGCCCAAAATATGGGAATATGTGGATGCTTTCTCTACATTCCTAAGGCTACACAAAAGGTCATGCCAGGAAAGGGAAAGCTACATGCAGTCTCATCCCTGTTATTGTTGTCCAAGCTCTTCATACTGCATCACCCCCATTTCCCCCATCCCCACAGGTAGCAATCTGCTCTTTCCTTGTTGTTATATTGAGAAGCAGCATTGGTGGAGAGCTACTTTCTACAGCTGCCTGAGCCATGAGTGTGCTGCCTTCTTGAACAGGAGATCAACTTCTCTACATCTCTCAAGACTTCATGCATAATGCAAGACCAGTAATTTCCACTGAATACTGTCCTCAAGTTTTAGTTACTCAATCAGAAAACACTTATTCACCGAGTGCCTGGAACATTCTACATACATGTTGCATGCCTGAAAATAAAAGAAGTATGAGCAAATATATAGTTATGTATATAGGTAACTGACCAGACAGAGAAGACTGAAAAAAGACTAAGCCTAGGAAAGCAGGGGTGACATGAAGGCATATGACCATCCCCTCACTTGGCAGTGAGTCAGGAAACCCCAAAGTCTGAAGCCTAAGCTGAGACCTGAAGGTTTTGTAGGATTAATCAGGTTGAAAGAAGATGGTAGATAAGTGATCTTTAAAACTACAAACACTGCATTAAGGCAATAAACATCATAATGAATTTCAGGACTGAAAGGCAAGGTTACTGAATGATAAAATTATACACACACACACACATTAAAGCCAAACAACACTGCAAAGTAGATTTTTATGTAGAATCAAAGTAGATTAAATTTTACAAATGAAGATTGACAATGTTTGTGAAGTTCCCCAAAATATCCTCTATTTACTTGAGATGACTCCAATGCGTCATTCATTTGACACCCAATGTGTTTCTTAATGCAGAAGATGTAACCAGCAAGAAGTCGGCATTGTGTCTCCCTTCGGGAGCATGTAGTGGTGTAGGCTGTATTACTAAATAGTGTGATCAAAGCCATCCCAGGAGAAAAGTAAAATATGACCTCCTAACAGAGGCATCTAAATTGGAAGCTGAATACATGGGAGACTACCTAAGAGGGATGGTATCTTACTTAAGATTTATAAAAGCTAGTCAGAAATGAAGTTAAAAAAATAGAAAGAGAATGTGCCAAGGTATACACAGGAGGTTTCATGTAGGGAAATGACATACAAGTAATTCAGATTGTCTGGAGCATAGAACACCAAATGGGTAATAGTAAATATAAACCTAAAGCAATGAGCAGAAACTACATTCTGGGAATAACTATAAGCCACTGTAAAATGCTTATCTTCTGCCTTGAAGACATTGGTGAGCACTGAAAGGGATCTGAACAAGCAAATGTTATGTGATACTCATGAGATATTATTTCACTAATGAAATAAATGAAATGTTGTAGCACTGAAATACAGTCTGTTTTCATGTTAAATTTATGTACAATTGTACATATATTTTCCCTAGTTTTTCTTTTAATGTTGAGGTAATTCTCACTATAAGAAATACATTGGTAGAGACACGTATTTTATTAGAGTATATTGACAAGCTTTTCATTATAGCAAAAAATGATATATCTTGGACGTAAGCTTAGTCAAGGAAAGCCCAAATCCACATTTTACTCAACCTTTCTCAGCCCGGCCACAGGGGAGCACTGTTTAAAAGTATTCTAAAGAGATGCACACAATTGGGTGTAAACAGTGAAAGTGCTGTCATGTCTGCCTGATGTTTGTCCCCCAAACATGTGCTGTTCTGGAAACCACCCCAACAGGCATCCCTCTGGGCTCAAAGTGCCTCCCACTGAGGAAGCTCATTGAGAGGCGGACCTGGGCCTGACCTCCTGCCCCTGCCTTCCTCAGTAGAACTCAGGGATCATCATTATGTTTTCTTCATTAAAAACTCATATATATCATGCCATATTGTAAATCTACTTCCACATTTGTCTTTCTATTGAGACCACCAGGTATTTAAGACTACTGACTGCTTCAAAATCATGTTTAAACCCTAAAGCATGCACAGTTGCCCAGTTCCAGGGACCTCATGGGAACTAAATAAATGTTGATTGAATATATAAATAAATACATGAATGAATCAGTCAAAATTCCTTCACTAGAGAATCTGAACTATGTACATTTAAACTATATAATATGAAGCATGTTCAACTTATCAGATTGTCCTGAACTGGACAGTTAATTATGGGTTCAATATTGAGACTTCCCAGAATATTCATTTCATTATTATTTGAATAATAATTCAAGCTTTTCTCCCCCTATATAATATGCATCAGAAATTATTTTATTATGTGTTCTGTGTCTTTGTTCAAACTAATCCTCAAAAAATTGTACGTGGGGATTTATCATTAGCTGTAATCCTTAGTTGCCTTACAGACTTAACATTGGAAGCATAGTAGATTCTTCCTGCCTCTACCATTGGATTAAACTGTTGAGGTATAAACTAGACATGAATGAAGAGTGAAGGCGGACAAATATGTTGCCTTTTTGGGCATCTTCTGGTACCTTTCAATATATATCCTCATGATGTCTATAGACTTCACAAGGTTATATAATTTTTTTCTCATCTGAGAATACAAACCATAGTAAATCACCTCATGCCAGATCTAAGAGATATAATCAAGTTCAGGGTGTGATTTTAATACTGAAGATCAATTTTGTTGTGTTGATTTGTGTTTCTGAGAGGTGCCCAGAATTTATATTAGGAATGATTAGCTTACAGCATTTTGTTTAACCAGAACAAATACAGACACTACTGAAGACTGTGTTAAAATGCAGTTTCATTAAGGCAGAACTACCAAAATGTCTGTGTTCTAAACTTGAAACCATTATTTTAAACAAAAGGTCATACCATTAGTTGTTCTACCAAAACACCAACTCTTATATATGCTTTTAAATAAGGTGTCTGCCTAAGGATGTCAGTTGACACTGTCAGTCATTTGAGCGTATACATTCTGTCTATATTCTGTTATTGTTTTACACTTGTAAAAAAGTAGAATGTGTTATGTGATCAACTAAAAACCTTTCCTTCTCCTACAATTTCTTATTATAACTCTTTTATGGGCAAGGGATTATTGCAAGTTGTTGGGGAATGCAGAAGTACATTTTCAGAAATTTTCTTCATGTAGACTAACGGGGGCAGTGTTCCCTCCCATAAAGATGCCTAACTTCAGCTAAAAGTAGGGCAGTTCAGAGGCAAAACAGAAGGCTGTGTGGAAGGAAGTGAGTGAAGTACAGGAAAGTGAAGGCAAGTTGATTGTTGTGGAGACAGGAGAGAAGTCACCTGCCTCCTCACAGAAGAGATGGACCAGCTCCTGGGGGCATCACTGTTGATCCTCTGTCTTCAGCCAGGCTGTGAGTTGTGGGTGAGGTTTGAATGTGACAGAAAATCTCTTTGGAACACTGCAAAGTTGGGAGATGAGATGATTGGGGAGTTTCGTTTCTCTGTGTTCTGCTCCTGATGGTTTTCTGTGGGCAAGGGGAAGGATAAAATTTAAATCTGTAGCTGTCTTTCCAAACAGGGGTGAGCAGTCAGCAGAAGAGTGGTGACCAGCAGCAGGTTAAGCAAACGTCTCCATCCCTGAGTGTCCAAGAACGAAGAGTTGCTATTCTGAGCTGTGACTACAATAATAATTTATTTTATTACTTCTTATGGTACAAAACGTACCCTGCTAGAGGTCCTGCACTCCTGATATCGACAAGTTCAGATAAAAAAGAAGATGGAAGATTCACAGTCTTCCACAACAAGAGTGCCGAACACTTCTCACTGCACATTGCAGACTCCCAGCTGGGCGACACAGCCTTGTACCTGTGCGTGGCAAGTGCACAGTGCTCTCCAGGCACCGGCAGCCTGTACCCAAACCTGCAGCTGGGTCCAAAACACACCCGTTTTAGGGTCTCATTGTGTGAGGCACTAAGAAATGCTTCAATTTATACAAGGCAGTAGGGAGGGTGTGCTTTAAAGCAGGGAAGGCAAGCTGAGCTTTAAGGAGACTGATACATGGGAGTCCTACAGATGGGTCAAGGACATTGCTGGGCTTTTGGGTGTCCAAGAGTCTAACCATTTTACTTTTTAATTTAGAGACTGTATATAATAAGATTCATGCTCCAACAGTCTAAACAGCACCCACATAAGGAACCGCCCAACAATGCTGCCTCCCAAAAGAAGCCATTAACTAATCACAAATTCTCTTGAAAAGCTTCCAATTCATAGATTCTTAGCACACATTTCTTCATCAATGACCCAGGCAAAGATCTGATTATGAAAGCCTTATGCTATGGTTTTTGGTATTGTGCTTATAGATAAATGGTTGCAACTTGTCCCTCAAGGGCTAATTTTATGAATTTTATAGTTGGAGAATGCAGAAATTCAGGACACCTCTCTGGAAGCAAAGAGAAGCCTCTGAAAATCTCATTAATTAGATGTTTTCTGGATGGCTCGAGGTATAGAATTCTCAGACATCAGTTAGCTGTCCTACACCAACTCAGTTCCCACATTACTTACTGCAGTGAGCATTGGCTCCCCTAGATTGAGGGTTCAGTACCACATGTCTGTCCTTTCCCCACTTCAAACATTAGTGGGAAGTTCAGGTTCTTACCTGTGCTTATGACCGTCTAGCTACAGATCACAGGTTCCAAGGGCCTGCTCCTTGGACTTCAGGAGCCAGCTCTGCTCCAGGCTGTCCCACATACTTGTGACCCATTGGCTGTACATCAGAGGTTCCCATTATACTCTCTTGAGTTCAATTAATTTGCTAGAGTGGCTCATTAAACTCAGTGAGACGTTTTACTTACTAGTTTATCAATTTATAATAAAAGGAAATAGGGAACTCAAGGACAAATGTTCTGTCAGGAAAGGAGAAAAATAACTCTTTTAAACAAACTGTTCTAATTAGAGAAGAAAAGCTCACCAACTTCTTTATCAGGCAAAAAGGAATTAACATTTATGAAGGAGAGCTAGGAGTAATGAAAATGATTATAATAGAAATTATTCTTGGGTTTTTTAAATAGGCAATAAAGCACATGTTATAAACTAAAATTATACAAAAGGACATCTAGTGAAAAGAAACATTTCCTCGTACCTTCATCCCCACTATCATCAGCAGCCATTCTTAAAATTAAAATCTTTCAAGTTATTTTCTTTTTATTATTGAGTGCAAGAGTTCTTTGTATTCTGGATACTCTAAGCTTAACAGACATATGATTTGCAAATAGTTGTTTCCATTCTGTGGCTTGACTTTTTCACTTTCTCCATAGCATATTTGAAGCAAGAGTATTTTTAATTTTGAAAAAATTTAATTTATTTTTTCTTCAACTGCTTGTGCTTTGAGGTCACACTTTAAAAAATCATCGTCTAATCCAAAGTCATGAAAATTTACATCTATGTTTTCTTCTGAGAGTTTTATGGTTTCAGCTTGTATATTGAGGTCATTGATCCATTTCAAGTGATATTGGAGGTAGAGATACAACTTCATTCTTTTGCATATGCATAACTAGACAGCTGGAGTCCCTAACATAAAGAAAGGAGAGTAGCTGTACCAATATCAGATAAAATAGACATTAAACCAGGAATTATCATTAGAGATTCAGAGGAATACTTTAAAATGATGAAGCAGACAATCTACCAGAAGATAGAACAATTCTGCCTTCATATGTATCAGTAGCATAGCTCCAAAACTTATCAAACACAAACACATAGAACTATTCAGTAAAATTTAACTACTGGAGTTTATTGACTTAAAAAATTAATAATCAAATAAACAACCATAGTGTCAGGCATTAATCACTGTAGAAACATATTGATATATGTTACAGTAGAAACAAAAAAGAAATATGATGAGAAGAAATAAATTTCTGTACCCAAATTTCATCTATAGAACACATTACCCACAAACATCAGGCTGTATATTCTTTTCAAATGCACATGGATTGTTTATCCAAGTTCACTATGTTCTGGTTTAAAGCAAGCCTCAATTAATTTCAAAGGCTTTAAATCATTCAGAATATAATTTCTAATCACAATAGTATTCAGTGAGAATTCAATATCAAAAAGATAATTAAACTTCATTCGGGTACCTTGTTAGATACAACTGGTATTTTTCAAATGTATTGCCAAAGAAAAAATATAAAGACAAGCAGAGCCCTGGGGTGGGGTAGATGTGCCAGTCTCTGAGCAGAGCAGGGTAACATCCGGTTTATGAACAATACTTCCTGTCTGCGGCAGAAACTTCAAATAGCCCTGCTACTCTGCACGCAGACACTTGGAGAAATAGACAATAAATAACATGTTATGAACTAAAATTATACAAAAGGATATCTAGTGAAAAGAAACATTTTCTCTTACCTTCATCCCCACTATCACCAGCAGCCATTCTCTTGGATGGTCTCTGGGCTGGAGTGAAAACAAGAGAAATTTCAACCAGGAGAAGAACTTCGATCATGCTCTGCCCTGGTCTGCTGTGGACATTCATAGCCTCCTTTGCCTTCAGTACGTGTGTCCAGACATGGGACCCCAGCCTCCTCCTAGGCCTCAAGGATGGAACTGTGCAAGTTCTAAATGGAACTGGTGGGGGTACTTAGAGGGAAGAGAGGTGGGGAAGTGAAACACTACGGGATTGTTTTCTTGGTCCTTGTGTAGCAAACTATCACAGTCCTCATGACCCCTCTGAGACATTTCGGAGAGCCAACCTTGTCTTCTCTTCTTTTCACAGGATCTAGCACGGCAGCCTCTGTGACCCAAGTTCAGGCTACAATAACAGTGCAGGAGGGAGAAGCTGTGACCCTGCCCTGCACGTATGAAACCAGCTGGAGTACTTATATTTTGTACTGGTACAAGCAGCCTGCCAGTGGAGAGATGGTTCTGCTTATTACACAGTATTATAGTTATTCAAATGCAAAGAAGGGTCGCTATTCTGTGAACTTTCAAAAGGCAGAAAAGTCCATCAGCCTCACCATCTCCTCTTTGCAACTGGAAGACTCAGTGAAGTACTTCTGTGCTCTCGTAGAATCCCACAGTTATAGAAACGAGAGTGGCGGCTTAACAAAAACCTTAGAGCTCCATGAAGACAGCCACCTGCTCAGAGGCTTAAAGAAACCCAGGACCCACAGACAGGAAGAAGGCGGGCTGTGTGGTGGCACCGCTGAGACCCTCTAATGGAAACTTGCTTCTATAAACAGTGCTGCATATTTAGCACAGTGTATAAAGCAGCACTCCTTCCTGAGAGTCTCAGGTCTTATGTTTATATCTTGGGTTAAAATAAATCAAAAAGTGCTTTTCAAATTTTTCCCTTAAAAGGACCTAGAACTTTAACTGAAGATCACATGTAGCCACTAAACATAGAACCAGGACTCAAAACCAGATCTGTTTCTTAAATCTTCCTACTGTGGTACCCTCTCTGACTCAAACAAAACTAGGCTCTACATACGTGTGTGTGCTGCCCCTCCCTAGTAGTTCAGGCAACACCCCACGTTCGGCGCCAATTGTCCCGACCTGCAGGACTATCAACGGAGGTCGACGACCTGGAGGAGAGAATTGAAAAATAAAAAAGAATGGGGCAAGGGACACAAAGAACGACCAGCAAGACAGGATGTCTGATCTAGCTGGCACAGTTTATTGTTTGCAGGCTCAATTTATACAAGTAGCAAGTAAGGGGTGGGTCAGGAGATAATTGGACCTTAGGTGGCACCGGCGGGGAGGTGTAGAAGGGTGATTGGGTCTTGGTTGGCGCCGACGGGAACGGAGGACCCGGAAGAGAAGCGGGGAGTTCGCCATTTTGGGGGCGGGGGAGGTGTTTCTCGCTTAACAAAGGACAGAAAAGGCACATGCTGTGAGGTAGCCTAACCACTAACTCTAACTTAGAAATGCAAATGTTGCTAGGTAAATTAACCCCTAGCTCTAACCTAGAGGTTCACTAAATGTGCTTCTTAGTAATAGGGGAAAGCTTGTTTCTAACGCGTGGATGGGTTCATTGTTGCTGACTTTACAGGAAAGATTTCTAGCTGATTTTACAGGAAAGATTTTTACTCAAAACGTTGCTGTTGTCTTAAGGCTTTTGTGACCGAATCTGCTTAAAGGCCCACAGATTTGCTCCCAACATGTGTGTGTACATATATAATTATATACATATATTTAATAAATATATATAATTTAGATTGTTTACAAGACTGTGTTTAGCCAAAATGCTTATTGCAGCAAATGTTTACCTTATTTAGTAACATTCCCACTTATCCACTAGACTTAAAATACTCTCAGCCTTTTATGTAAGTTAGAATCTGAATCTGTTCAAATCTGAAAGGTTATATTAAAACCTTGTTAAAAGTAAGCCATGGAAAAAATAGTAAATGTTCATGGAGAAATAAAGCTTGTTCTGCTCCCGCCCCCCAAAAAAGTCCAAGAGGGCTGAGTCAGAGAATGTGAAGAACAATGAACAAGAGAGTTCCCTACATAAGGCACAGTCTGGTCAAAACTGGACAACAGCAGGGGCTAAACCAATGCCTCCTGGGATCTCAGACTTGCTTCGGATCAACACTATGTGTTGCTCTTCATTGTCTTTTACAGTAGAACTGGATATGACAATCCTGTATGTGTTCCATAATTGTATATTACGTGTGAACGACATACTTTATTTGTATAGTTACACAAAAGTATGTGGTTTACACACCATTCACTCATAATAAAGAAATAAGTTCCTATCAAATTAAGAATAAAATAAAAACATCCCCATTCTGGTAAAGGGTATATTCTATAAACTAAAGCAAATACCAAATTTAATGGTGAAATGCTGAATGCTTTCTTTCAAAGCCAAATAGCACTATTTCTATTAAACAGTGTACTGGAGGTGCTAGCCTTTATTATAAAGAAAGAGAGAGAAACGAAAGCTTTATAAATAGAAATCAGAGAATATAAATAACATTAATCACAGATACGACTGTTATAATAGACAATCCAAAGTAATCAACACGTGTATTATTAAAGCAGTTCAGCTATGTCATATTTAAAATTATACTTTATATATAAACTTTATATACAACTAGAAAATAGAGAGGAAATATATACTTTATATATAAACTTTCTATATAAACAACTAGAAAATAGAAAGGAAAATTTTAAAAATAGTATTAAAATAGCATAAGAATGCAAAATACTTAGGAATAAATGTTTGGAAAATATTTACAAGACCTCAGCACAGAAAGCTGTAAAATGTAAACAAAAGAAATTTAAGCTATAAATAATGGGACACTACATCATATTCATGAATCAGAATATGCATAATTCAGAAATGCCAAGTCTCCTACATATGGTAAATAAATTCAATGAAATCCCCATTGTTCTCAATAGTATTTGCGTGGGTACACATAATAAGCCAACTCTGGAATATATACAGAGAATATAGTCAAGAATACTCAAGACAGTCAGAAAGAAGAAGAGCAAGGAGGAGGACTTTTTCTTTCCACTATTAGGCCTCTGAAATTAAAACTGTGGTATGAGCGAAAGAATAGACAGTTAGACAAAGACCATCAGCTGAAAGCATTTCAGTTGCCTCTCATATCCTCTCTCCGTCTTTGTCCTCTCTGCTTTCTGCTTCAGGAGACTTCTCTGAATGGACAATACAAATATGGCTCCTTTTCTTTCTGGATTTTGTGCATTTCTGTCAATGTGGAGCCCACTGTAGAAATCCAAAAGAGGTCAGAGTACTTATGCCTGTGCCCTTCCTGAAGGATCTCTTTGAGTAGGTCATGTCACTTCTCCAAAGACTGCAGCATCTTTCAGGTTGGTTCTCTGTATATGATCATCTCCTTTACCATATCTACAATATGCCCTACTTCCCAAATACTCTCTGGACCTAGGGATAGTAAAAGCTCCATTGGCCTATGGCTAATGAGGTTGGAATGCAGACGTTTCCTGCTATCTTATAGAGGAAGAAATTGGGAAATTCAGGGAAGTGGGAGTGTTGATATTGAACTTGTCAGTGTCATCTGATCGTATGCTTATAACCACTCCTTGGGAATCCCAGAGGATACTCCCTTTAACCATGGCATCAAGAAACTTACTGTTGAGTAGGTCACTGGAATCTTTAAAATGGTGTTGGAAGCAGTTTCTGTAGGATGAAGATGATGGGGACAGGAGTGTACACAAAAGAAGGATCTTGCCATATAAGCTGCTTTTCTGACTTCTGTTGGCATAGCAGGATTTTGGGGTGGCAGTGGTGATTAATAGATGGAGACAAGGTATGTGATATTACCACAATAAACAAAGAGAAAGAGTGTTAATCAGGGTGCTTTAACCTTCAGAGATCTCTGGAGAGAGCTAATGAATCATGCAGTACCTGCAAATCAAAGTGAGGCAGCCCACTATGGTCCTGCTTTTATCTTCTGGATTCGTGGGTGGAGGGGGGGCAGTAGAATGTAACTTGAGGTGCTATAGTGTGGATTCACAGCATCCTTATTGAGTTCCCAAGCTAAGCTAGTTGAGACACTAGAATTCCTGAACTAAGAAGGCCAAGCGCATTTGAGAAACACTGCAAGACCATAGTTTTTGCAAGGACATGGAGTTGATTATGTTGCTTCTAAGAATGTACAATTATGCCAGCACATTGGAAAATGTTTTAGCATTTTTTAAAGGTTAAACATACACACGCCACATGACCCAACAATTGCACTCGTGGGATTTTATCCAAAAGAAATATAAATGACTAAAGAAATATTTGCATTCACATACTCATAGCAACTTTCTTCATGACAGCCCAGAACTGGCAGCAACCCAAATGTCTGTCAATAAGTGAACTGAATGCTAGTCAGTAATAAGAATGAGACACATATACATGATAACATGGGTGCATTCTGAAAACATACTGAGAAAAAGAAGCCAGAAGACATGAGATCACACTGTTTCCATTTGTTTGAAACTCTAGATTAGACAAATTTAATGTATATTGACAAAGCAGAACAGTGGTTGTCTGGGTTCTGGACTTGGGGAAGATTAATGAGGGGCACAGAAGAATGTTTTGTGGTGAAATAATTGTTCTATACCTTGATTTACACAATAGTTCCATGAGACTGTAAATATTTCAAAACTCACTGAATTTCAAAACATTTAAAAAGGATTCATTTTGCTGCATGTAATTTATGCCTCAATAATATTGACTTGAGTACCAGTGGAACAATAAAAAGAGTGAGATATTGCTACACATCCACCAGAAAGTCTAAACTTTAAAAAAACAGTAATATCAAGTAATGGAAAGAGTGATTCATTGAAACCCTCACAGGTACAAGCAAGGTTGCAAACTGATAATAATTCTTAGAAGAACTTTCGGCACTAACTTTTCAGTGTGAAGATATTCATACAACAAGATTCAGTAAGGATAGACACATAGATAAATGGAAAAGAATTAAATGTCTAAAATAAACCCATACATTTACAGTCAATGAATTTTTGATAAGGGTGCCAAGACAATTCAATGGGGAATGTATAGTGTTTTGAACACATGGTGCAGGAACAACTGGAGGTCAAAAAATAAGAATGAAGCTGCGCTCTTTCTTTATAACATACTCAAAAAACTACCTCCAGCTGTGTCAAAGACAATTAGAAGATCTAAAAGTATTAAACTCTTAGGATAAACATGGCAGCAAATATATGTGTTGAATTAGTCAAAGCCTTCTTAGATATGACAACAAAAGTACAAGTGACAGAGGTAAAACAAATAAATTGGGCTTCACCAAAAGTAAAACTTCTGTGCTTCAAAGAATATATTCAGGAAAGTGAACAGACAACCAGAAAAATGGAAAAAAAGTCTTTGCAAATCGTTATGTCAAACAAGGGACTTATGTCTGGAACTCTCACAACTCAACAATAAATTCAGTTTAAAATGGGTCAAATATTTGAATAGATATTTCTCCAAAGAAGATATGCCAATGGCCAATATTCACATGAAAAGATGCTCACCACTGTAAGTTGTTGAGGAAATACTATCCAAAACACATGAAAATACTGCTTCACAGCCACAGAAGGCTCAATCAGAAAGACTAAATATAACATGTATAGTGACAATATAAAGAAATGGAAACTTCTCACACTTTTATGAGTGTATAAATGCTGCAGCCTCTTTGGAAAATGATCTGGAAGCTGCTCAAACCATTAAACATAGAGGCATCAAGTAATTCAGCAATCCTGATCCTGGTATATACCCAAGAGAATTGAAAACACTGTCTATCAATGTTCATATCCAAAAAGGGAAAGAACCCAAATGTTCTTCAACTGATGAATTACATATATGTATATATTCATAAATGGAATATTATTGAGAAATGAAAAGTTGTCAGCACAGATACATGGGGCAACATCAATGAAACCTTGAAAACATGCTAAAGGAAAAAAGCCAGTGCTGAGAGGCTGTACCCTGTGTAATTCCACTTATATGAAGTTTCCAAGATGAGAAAATCTATAGACACCACTATGTTCTAAACATTTGTTTCCCTCCAATTCATAAATTAAATCCTCAGCCCCAAAAGGAATCTTATTAAGAGGGGGAGCCCTGGGATTACTGCTTTATAAAACAGTCTCAAGAAAGGTCTTTTGCCTCTTCCACTGT